GATAGCTTAAAAGTAAATATTAATATATAATATATGATTTTCAGCGTTGCGTTCTAATAAGATAAATTTTACGTGAATTGAAGTAAACTATGTTTAGAATCAATCAAAAAGTGATGCGAAGTCTTATGAGATTCCGATCAAAAAGCCACATATTGAAATTAACGAAAATGTAACATTTAAGTTGGAAATAAGTAAAATTAATGTTATTTAAAGTTGTAAATTATCTCGTTAGAAACATTTAGGAGAAACCCTCCTCGACATCCATGTTATAATGAAGAAGTTATGACTTATTGAAGTGTTGCGATAGAACCGACACGATGTCGTATGATGTAAAAAGTAAGTTTATGATAAATTACTTTTTAGCTTTATTAATCTAAATGAAAGTCGTAGTATTTGTTAAACCGAGATCTTTCATAAAAAGAACGTCCAAATTTGACTTCGTATGAGGAAGTTATGATTTTTCTAAAAGTTGGCATAACAGTGTATAGCTCGAAATTTGAATTATAAATCGAGCGATTTTCATCCGACACAATCTAAATGAGAATCGAAGATCTTATCGATTGTAGTTCAACGGTACAAAAACAGACGAAAACGAACGTCGGATAAAGAAGTTATGAATTTTTAACGGACTTTTCTTATCCCGACATGTTAAAAATATATTCAAAAATTAGCCGACAGAGTCTAAACGAAAGTTACAGAGTACAATTTCACCTATGCGTGGATATAAAGAACGTCAAGAACAGAGCTCGTATTCAAAAGATATGAATTTTTGAAGTCTAGACATAAACTTCGAGGAAGCCGTACACCCAACGTACTATAATTACACCCCGCGTACTCAGAAACTAGGTCTAGAGTCAGCCACGTTGCCTTCCATCACATGCAGATAGGTATCAGCCACACTCGAAGCTCGGAAATTGAGCACATGCAACATTTACTCTTACCCCCCGTGTACTGCAAGTGTACAACCATCGTAGTGACTGGTAAAGGAGTACGCCCCGCGTACCTTGCTAATTACACCCAACGTAATAAGGTGCTCCGGACACTATAAATATGGTGCGAGGCTGTCTGAAATTATGTTACAATTTCTCACATCTTTGACCTTCTACTCTCTTTCAAACTACCCTAACACCCCCCAAAGGCTAGGAAACATCCCCGACACCCGAAGCAAGTCCCTACGCATCTAAGATGCAAGAAAATAATCTTTTTCAACTTGAAACTCTTCCCGCCCAAGGCCCGGTTTTCAACAAAAATCCTCGGTTTCATCAAAGAAAGTCATTTTTAGACACCAAGTGCTGCCCAAATTATCATTTTATCATTAAGATATTTCACGGTGAGTTCAATATAGGGACAATTATATGTTATGTGATATATGTTCAATGTGCTTTCCTGAGTTATTCTGGTTTTATACCATTGATCATGTAGAGCATGATTCATATAACTTCTAGTATTCGCTTTGAGCCTTTGGCCATGTATACCATGCCTCGTACTATTCTGGTATCGAATTTATGCCTTTGGCCACGTGTAGAGCATGTCTCGTGTCACTTTTGGTATTGGCTTTGTGCCTTTGGCCATGTAGAGCATGGCTTTGTGCCTTTGTGCCACTTGGGATGAAGTTTTATTGATGTATATCAAGTTGAAATTGTTATGTTTCATTGATTGTACATCTTTGAATCAAATTATTGGTTGATTTGGAAATCCTGACATATGATACACATATGCCTTTGTTATTTTTTGTCCCTCTTTGTTTCTATCATATATATATATATATATATATATATATATATATATATATATATATATATATATATATATATATATATGGCATAACGTTATATTGTAACTGTTATTGAACTCACTAAGCGTCACCCTCTTATCCCTCTTAGTGTTGAACTTTTGCAGGTAATAAACATCCAATATAGTCATTTACTATTAGAATATGTAGAATAGATAATATAATAACTTTTGTATTTAGTGTATAAATTCCTGGGAAGTTATGTAATATATAAAACTTTGTAAAAATCTTAATAGTTGGTTTGTATCCAGACGGTTATAAATTATATTATGAATATGCATGTAGCAATTTTGGAGTAAGAATATTGTAAATATATTAGAAAAGTAAGGGTTCTATCAGTTATGGTATCAGAGCAGTAGTTTAAGTGAACCAAATCCCATTGGTATTTAGACTTAAACTATTGGAAGTTCAATATATGAACGGATTCATTGTAAGAATATGGATACAAACCAGGTAATAATAAATCCTAATATTCTAAAATAATATATTACTCCAAAATTTCAGAGGAATGGCTGAACAAGTGAGTAGCCATACACTAGATATGGGTGGAGAACCTTATCCTGATGAAGTAAATACTCGAGTATCCCCTCGTGAGGAGCGACTCTTGGATAAACTTATTGGTGTTATTCGGCAGACTCTCGAATAACACAAAAAGGATAGTGATAAAGGTAACGAGAAAGCCACCATAGAATCTTCAAAAGGGGCGTCGAAGCGTCCACCGGAGAAAATTTCTAACAAGGCTTGATTGTTTCATCCCCTAAACTCGATGATGCTTGAGGTTGCACCACTTCCTGTTGATGTGCAAGAAGCTCTATGTTTATGATTCAGTCTATTAAACCATAGTGTGATTGAGACATCTAACAATATCTCTTTATAACAAGTCTTCTATTATATAACTCAATGATTCACTATACGATACCTTACACTGATAAAATTTTGAAATTTTGTGTCGTTGGTTTAACTATGTACCATATTTTATCACACACCAACCCCTTCTTACCTATAATTAAGAGCTTCATGATTCAACATAAGATGCCATACACTGATGAAAACTTGAAACATTTGTTCGATGGGTATATCGATTACCATGATATATTACACACACCTATCCTCTCTTACCCTACAAAGCTTCTAACAAAGAAACTGATGATTCACTGTATTAGTCATACACTAATTTCGACATTCTATGCCAATGGGTATATTTTGTACCGGAATGTACTACACACATCATACCACACTTAACCTTCTTCTTCTAATAGAAGTTATTAATGATTCAAAATATAAAACCATATGTTGATGAGACTTCGTAACATTGTGTAAATGATATACTATTATGACAACACAATAGTGTGTTACACCAAACTTTCAGCCACTACTCCGATGCACTAAATTAACATTGGTAGTCATCCTATTGTCTTGTCACTGGATATCTTTACTCATTGGATGCCTCACATTTTTCAGGCTGTTGTTTATTGGTAAAGTTGTATTTATCTCAGAAGAGTATCTTCAACGACAACTTTTTAAATTCAGGGATAAGCACCATTGTTTGGGAACTGGAAGATTTGAGCAGATTTTTCTCTCTCCTATGATTACATTTCAACGACATTTTCTGAGGTATAAAGAAGCATTTATGCCATCATTAACATTTTAAGATCTCAATTATTCTTAAAAAATGTTTCATTTGCCTCATCTCTCAAGAACCATAATCAAAATCTTCATAGCTCCTCCTGCTATTCTCTACACTTATGCTCCTACACCAAAATCTATCAAGGATGTTCGAACTCCATGCATTCCTATCATCATCATTTCCAACAATGTGGCATTCTTAACTAAAATTCTTAAAAATATCAAGACAACGGATTTGAAGATTTTGTGTCCTATCTAGCTGCGTATCCTCTTTGCTATGTGCTTGCTGATGTTGTCAATCCTTTTCTCCCACAACACGTCTGTAAGTTCTACAATACCGCTACCTACTATGATATTGGAGTAATTATTAGTACAATCTGAGATAGAAAACATTCTATTTCAATGACTATGAATGATGTCTGAAGGGCCTTACATCTTCTAGTTTGAGATGAGTACTTTTTAATTCCTACTATGGATGAATGTCGTGCCATTCTTAACAAGTTGGGCTAAAAAAGGAAACTACATTTTTCTTTGTTTGCATATTCCCACTACTTGGAAGTTTCTCAATGGTGTCCTTGGAAAGTGTTTCACTCATAAAAAAAGGAGTCTTGATCAGCTTAATGATGCAGCGTATTCTTTCTAAGTCATCAAGAACAAGTAACTACACTTTGCTTAACTATCTTTGACCAAATTTATGCAATAAACAAAGGAAATAAGCGACCCTGTCGTGTTCCTTATCCCCGTTGGTTTGCACTAAGTCTTCAATATATTAGCACTGGGTATGATGGTGAACCAGTTGCATACTGGGCTCCTTCTTTCACCTCTTGAGAATTATTCAAACAAGATCCTTAAGATGTTTGGAGCATCACAAAGGGAATGCAGAAGTTGATTAAAGCCCATATGCGTGTGATATAAATTGCCATATGTTGCTCCTGAAGTACCTTATGAGGATGAAGAAATGTAAATTAAGAACCAGTGCCAATACAACAAAAGAATGAAGGTCAACAAGATGAAACTAAGTCAGATAAAGATACTAACGCTGTCAACAAAAACATTGATGTTGGGAATGCATATAATGGTGAAGAAACTAAAATGATCCTTGATGATCAAGGTCAGGAAGCTCAAGATTTCCTGTAGAATTTCAATGAGGTAGAAACCTTTCATTCTAACATGCACATTCGTTTTGAGTCTCCTCCATCCATAGATAATGAAGAAGAAGAAGTAGTAGATATTTATGAAACTCCTTCTCCATAGCGGAAATCCTTTGTTGATGATGCATATCGTGTTTCCAAGACTCCTTCGTATACCAGATGTAATTCACATCCTGCTCGTACTCCTTCTCTAGTATCTTCTCCCTAGCATGTTTGAGTTTCATTGTTCCTAAATCCTCAAACACAAAGGCAGCATGCTCCTACTCCTTCCATTCCAACTACAAAACCATTACATGCTCTACAAATTCTTCCACACTCAAGAAACTATTCAGGGGGAGCAATCGCAACCTAGCTTGCCACTTGATTTGTTCAAAGACTTATAGATAAAATTACTCTTTAACTTAGGTTATCTTGTTCAACTAACTACCAACATGATTCAGCGATTGGGTACAATAGAAAGTGATGTGGCCGATATCAAGCATATTCTCAAAAACGATGATACTAAAAAAAGGATGACGGGTATCGGTCTCCTCCAAATAATGATCAACCACCCCCTGATTTAATTAGGGATCCTCTATCAGGCAGTCCTACCTCTAACATTCATCCACCATTTCCTTCTTGTCCTCCAACATCAAATCCACCACCTCCATTTTCTCCACCTCCACATAATCATACGTTTGCTCTCACCCTTCAAACCCACATTTGATATGATGGTGCCAAAAAAGGGAAGAATATTTCTAGTGCTCATGTTGATGCTGATATTGATGTAGATGATGATGTATATTTCATGGACTTGTCATTTATTGATGCAAAACCACTTCAGACGGTGTTTCCATACTCCTATGATGATGCTGAGGGGGAGAAACTACCTCAAGGGGAGCCTAATGATGTTGAATCTGATGAAGATAATGTTCTGCTAAGAAGGAAACAAAAGGTCAAAGCTTCTTCTGTCGTTGGTTTCTCCAAAAAAGAAATGCAAGGATCTTATAGTGACTGATATGGAAAAAGTACGGGGAGTGCTTATCAAAGAGGCTAGGGAATTTTCCAGGCAACACAACATCCAAACTGGAATTCAGATATTTACCTGAAAAGATTCCAAGAATATCCAAGAAAAATTGACTGTCACCGGCACTTTGTCAGTGTCAAATGAGAAAAAGGTTCAGGAAAGTACAATTACCAAACTTGAACGAAGTAGGTTTGTGGATGTTCTAACATGGGGGAGAGAACTTGATCCAATTATCAAAGTAATATGCACTAATCCAAAAGATTAAAAGTTCTTACAGTGTACATCACACAACGTGATGATAAGGGTCAAGTTGTAGGTCAATATATGAAGTGTTATTTGCCAAGGATTTGGTAAAATTTAGGTACAATAAGTGGATACAGCTTTTGGAGTTGGTCAACAAACAGAAAGGTAAGTATGTTAAGGAGCTAAGGCTTGTATTAGAGAAACTTATCACAAAGGTTAAAAGTCTTGACCTAGTACCAAAGACTTCCACTAAACTTTCCTCATCCTTAGTGTCGGCTTCAGTACCTAGAAAAAGGACTCTTAATAACATTAGATTTCTTCGTCCATATGATACCAAAGTTCTCGACAAATATTTTCCAGTGGGTTTTGATCATGTTCAACACATGTTCATTCATCAACCTGAGCATGGTATTTTATCCATGGATGAATCTCAATGTATGTGCTTTTAACACTCTGTTGATCATGCCAAGGTGCCCAATGAGCATTTAGTTCATCTAAAGATTGAGTGTATGGGTCACATAGAACTCGAAAATAATTCCCATATCTTAATTTTACTAGAGCTAAACAATAGAAAGAAAGAACTAGAAAATTTTGACTACTTTTGGGTTAAACTAGAAGCACAAGAAGATATTGATGAGTTCTGCAATCGTTCCTATAGAAAAACGTTTGTGTTTTGACATCATCCAATTGGGGGAGATTGTAAGGTAAAAACTTAGAATCTGATGAAGTAAAACCATTTCACACTTATCTATATCATTGCCAACATCTCATTAATGTCAGCTTAAAGGTATGATCTACAAAGTTAGTATCAACATGACAATGTAATATTTTGTAGTTATAGATATACGCATAGTTAGTTAGCAAATCCGATATCTTAGGGATATCGCATATATACATAATTTACATAGATTAGGTGAAATCCATGAATTGTATGGATTCTCACAAACCCTGCTTTTACTATAAAACCATGTATCAAGGGTTTATGTCATTAGTTGATTCATGAACCCTAACTTGATGCTCGTTCTCTTTGTGAGAGTTTTCTTAGTGAAAATTTTTGTTATAAACCATTTTTCATTGTCTTCCTTGTTAATCGATCTTCATCAACGAACCTACATTTTTCTATATGGACACTTGTCAGAATATGTCTGTATGGCTTAGCCTGAGGGTTTTCTTGATCCGAAGTATCCAAACATAGTGTGTAAGCTTAAAAGATCCATTTGTGGATTAAAGCAAGTTCGAAGTTGCAACATTCGTTTCAATTAGAAAATCAAAGAGTATGGTTTTATTCAAAATGAAGATGAACAATATGTTTATAAGAAAATGTTAACAACGTGTAGCAATGTATAACCAACAAATAATATAAATAAAAATGCTACTATGATGCACTAAAGGGTAGTACATGAAAGAAGGGTCGAATCCACAGGGACACGTCCTAAGGTTTATGCCTTTCTTGTGTAAGGCACTCACTAAGTTGATAAAAATAAAAGTAGGGGGATTTGTTGACCGATTAAAACTAGATTTCACATAAATTCATAAAATAAAGATAACTTGATTTAAACTCTAAAATAAAATTCATAAGATAAAAGCAATTTCAGTTTCACATTGACTCTCCTAATCATGCAAATAACCTTCAAAACGATACTTGAACTGTGAACTGTTCAAACTGGTACTGAAAATCATTAATAAGCTCTAACAAATGTTTTTTACTAAAACGTTTAACCAAAACAAGCTCTTTGAATTAAACTTTACTTTTTACTTAATTAACCAAATAAGCTCTTAATTAACTTTGAAAAGTAACATTAAGCATAATGTAAAAATTCCCAGTAAAGTCCAATACTTCTGAGAAGCTCGAAAGTGTAAAGACTTGTTGGATCAACTTATGTTAGAGTTAACCCAAACACATAATTAATCTGACATTCATTAATTTTACTGATTAATCAAGACAATTACAGATATAAATGAATCAGATAACTGGAATGATTTAAAAAAATTAAAGTGTCCAACAAAAACGGAATCAAAATCAAACGTTCGATTGAGTATAAAACTGATCAAACTAAACAGTAAAGACAGTCAATAATCATGAGTAATGATTACTTGCACAAAAAGTCGAGTTGTTTGCGAAACCGAAATCTACGTTTTTTAGCCTGACATGACTAAAAATGAGTACAAGAAGTAAAAACAAGATCTAAATGACTAATCTTACTAAAAGAAAGTAAATCTTGAATCGTGTTCTTAGTATCTACGTTTGGCACTTGAAAAACTCTCAAAATCGCCTCTTATTCGTCTGGAATCATGAATTAGGTTATTGGGGTCTTTTTGGAGGCCTTTTATATGTCCAGCAGGGATAAAGCCCATGTTTGGGATTTTATGTAGCCACGTATGCGATTGCACCTTTTCATGAAAATGTGTGCCAAGCCAGTTTAATGAAGTACATTGCTATTCTGAGGCTTTTTGAGTAACATGCGATGACATATATACAACTTGTGATCACAGGTTTTCCTTTTCTCTTCCATCTGAATTAGTGACACGAAAAAAATCCTTGCATCTTCTCTGTGACCCAACATGCGATCACACCTGTGATCGCATAAACATTACATGCGATCATAGTTTCTTTATTTTGTGACTTTTTTTTGTTACAATTCTTCATTCCAAGCTATGCTTGATCATTCCTTAGCATCCTTTCTTAGTTTCGTCTCCAGTTTAGCTTCAACACTTCCATTAACACATCCCAAACTCATGTATTCGTCCTTGTGCTCAAAATGGCCTTGAAAATCATAACAAACGTGAGTAGTATGGGCATTCTACAAATATAATGAAAAACATATAATTTATAATAACATTAGGGAGATAGTTACCTTTTTAAAAATAAATACCGAGAAAAACGTGATAAAAGATGCATATAAATTGCATCTAACAAAAAACTAGTTGGAGCATTGTCACATTCCTAGTTCTATATGTAGATGACATATTATTGTTGGAAATGGCATTCCTTATTTGAAAGGGCTTAAAGCATGGCTTAAGAAATGTTTCTCAATGAAAGATGTGGGTGAAGCAGCTTATATTCATGGTATAAAGATCTATAGAGATAGTTAAAGGTGACTTATAGTTTTAAGTCAAAGTGAATACATTAAAAAAATCTTTAAAATATTCAAGATGGAGAATTCTAAGAGAGGATTCTTGCCAATATCATATGGAGCTATATTGATCTCATCTCAATTCCCTAGTACAAAATCTGAGCTAGAGAGAATAAATGGCATCCCATATGATTTTGCAACTGGATCCATCATGTATGTCATTTGATGCACAAGACCAGATATATTGTATGCTTTGAGCATGACGAGTAGATACCAACAAAATCTAAGAGAAGGCCATTCGATTGCTTTAAGAACATTATGAAGTACTTACAAATAATTAAAGAAATCTTTGTTATCTATGGAGGTTTGGAATAAGATCTTAGTATAAAGTGTTACACAGACGCTAGTTTCTAAACATGTGTGGATGATTCAAAATCTCAATATGGATTTGTCTTCATATGAATGAATGGAAGATTTCTTGGAAGAGCACTAAACAAATCGTGGTCGCACAATCTACTACAGAGTTAGAATACATTGTTGCTTCAAAAGCAGCACAAGAAGTAGCCTAGATGAAGAAATTCATTGAATATCTAGTGGTTGTCCCTTCCATTTAGGATCATCCATAGGTATTTTGTGATGATGAGGGTGTCATCGCTTCAGCTAAGGAACCCATATCACATAACAAAACCTGGAACATCCAATGGAGATTCCACTACATTCAAAATATGGTTGAATAGGGTGATGTTTGTATTCGCAATTCATATAGATCAAAACATGGTGGCCTATTCACGAAGCCACTAACACCAGTCAAGCATGATCATCACACTAGAGTTATAGGGCATCATTATTCTAGTGAATGGATTTGAATTTAATTTAATATTTGGATGTTGGAACATTATAAGAAACAATTATGTAATGCATTTGATATACGGAGATATGATATTTTCTTTAATATTTTTAGTGTTCTATATTAGCATGTTTAATCCTTGAATAAAACTAATTATTCTAAAAGTTTCATAGTTGATCATAATTGTGGGAACAAATATGAAGGAAGAATAATATAAATTAGATTAGTTGAATTTCACAAGATGAAATTTGCAAAGGGAGTTACAACCAAGTTCATAGGTTGGGGAATCACTTCATGGATTGTTATCATGAGTGACTCTTGAACAAGGTAGTATATTTGTATCCTTAGACCTGAAACACATATTAGGGACTCAAGTGTGAGGATTATTGTCATTTAATATGGTTCTTCCCTTCTCTTTAACCAAGCATTCATAAGGCCATCATTAGGTACAATATGATCTGCTTAAGAGGCATATGTAATCAAAGTGAGATTTTTTTTCCTCTTATGTGTTGAGAGTGATACGTCTACTATGCCAAAATAAAGTTGAACACCAAATGAAAATGATTATGGTCCATGTCTCAGATTTAACATGATGTCTGAAACAACGGGATAATTGATACATCACATATGTACTTCAATTAAAGCTATGAGCTCATGGGAATTGAAATTTATTAAATGGGACATTGTTATGTGTTGTTCAGGGCAGTGAAATATTGGTAGATGTTCACCATTGTTTATATCATTCTATGATTCAATCTTGCGCAAATGGGATATAATTAGTTCTATATGCTCAAGAATGATCGTAAAATGATATTTCCAATAACATA